CCTCGTTATTTGGCGCCAGGTTTTGAACAAGAATTTACTTAGGAGAGAGACAGCTACATGACTGCACTCCTCTTAGCTAAACTAAACCTCTGAATTCACAGATGATTCAAGTAGCTGCCCCAGACTACAGTTTGCATTATAGCTGTTTTGAGTCCTCGACCACTTCAGGTAATAAAACTTTACATTTCTAGAAGTCTCCCATAGTGCAGGTGTCCGAATCAGTAGATGCAAGAAGTATAGGGTTTTTTTTTTAATTTAATGACAAACAGATTGGGTACAAATAAGCTTTTCCCTAAAAAAAACCCCAAAAAACCCCTTTTGACCCAACTAAAACTATTTGCAGAATTTAACTGAAACTTAGTAATGATTTCAGCTAACAAAAATTAAAAAACATTGACAAGCTGAAATATTTAAGCTCTTTAAAAACTGTGGGGTTTTGACTACTTATTTTAATTTTTTTTTTAATAATAGTAACTTTTAAGACTCAATAAAAAGTATGTACAGAATTGGACTAAAAACAGAATGAAACTTTAGTTGCAGATTTTATGAAATATTTTAATCAGTCTCAAATTTATGGTGTCTTTTTCTGTTTCATGGAGGAACTATTTTTATGCTTGTGTCAGGTCATTTCTGTCCCCTTCATCCCCCTAATTTTCAGTAAGTGAATTGAAAATAGACAAATAAATAAATGACATGAATAATTTGCACAGCATTAGTATCAACAGATTTCTCCTTGTTGTTAAAACAGGTAAGAAGGCATGTCTGGGAAGCTTGGGAGCAGCTATTCAGCCTGTCCATGTTCAGGACAGCACTGAGAACATGCTTATCTTTAAGCATATGTTAAAGTCTCCTTGATTTCAAAAAGTGCCTCTTTAACAGTGTCATCAGCTCTTGACATCGTACCAGTACTGCTGGAATATTTTATGCCCTTTTTAAAGCTCCCACAGGAATAAGCAACCACGAGAATGACACCTTTGACTCAAGTGCTATTGACCTAATGCTTCCCCTTGGCTAGGCAGCGCTTCAGACCCTTGGCAAGCCAGGAGGAAACCTCAGCCCAGGAACTCAGTGGGAACTACAGCCATCTAACCCTAGGGATTCAAGAGGTTAGCTAACAAGTGAGTACCAAATATTTTGGTTTTAACATTTTTAACTGCATCTGTGATTCTAAGGGAAGGGTCTCACCCATGAATTTTGAAACGCATTGCTTTCATTTACGTGCCTAAGTATCATAGAATCACAGAGCCTTTTAGGTTGGAAAAGACCTCTAAGATTGTCAAGTCCAACCATCGACCCAACACCATGTCCTGAAATGCCACGTCTACACGTTTTTTGAACATCTCCAGGGATGGTGACTCCATCACCTAAGTACTGGTCTGACAGTGATAGTTTCCTGGATGAGGCACAATACACACCCCTTTGCCTTCTGCAACCTACTACATGGGTAGAGTAGCAATAAGATTTCATTATATACTGGTCAACAGTCTAAATTTACAACTCCAGGGGAGAAAATCTGTTTCTTTCTTACTTTGCAGGCTGCTTGTCATGCTGGCGTTACCTCAAGCCTCACTTTTACGTCAAGAAATTCTGACTGTAAAGCTAAATAATCTTTCAGTCAGGTATATATAACCATAAATAAACACCTACACATCTGCAAAATCAAGTCCAAGTTTCAAACGGCAATTATATTAATGCATATAATTTGAATTAACTATCATTTCAGTGATTCTGTAAATCCCTTTGAAAGGATCTGTTGCTTGTTGATTTTGCACCATGTGAAGACATGATAAATATGACATGTAGTCTCATCACATGAATAATGCATTCTGTATCTTAAGCAAGCAAGTTTTGCTCCAGAGAGATGCTTAATCCATTCCCTACTTCTGGGGATGAAAGGAATTAAACTCAGTGCACTGATTTCACAGTATGTGCTCATTTGACTTCAATTATAAAATGATTATTTCAACATTTTTTCCCTGTACAATAAAACAAGTCTGAGTTCCATGTAACCTCTATATAATTATATCACTTCTCTGTGCATTCAGTCATTGCTCATCAATAGTGCACTTTCAATACAGTTTCACATGGAAGAACAGAAAAAAAAACCTCTTGGAGTTTACAGTTGGTATAGTAGTTTCAGGTCTGTCAGCAACAAAAGCTCCTCTTTTTGATATCTGGCCAAAGGAAGGAGCACTAGAATCCTTTAAAGTGAATTTAAATGTCACGAGAAGGAACATTCACTGGGCACCGGGAGATGACGTAATCCTACACTACACTGGAAGATTTACATCACGCATCCTGGATATTTATTTTCACCAGTATTTTCTCCACAGACTGTTCAAACCTGTGCAAAGCTCAGCATAAGATCATTTACCTTGCTAAAAACTAAACTTTTTCTCTTGGCCGATTCAATGGCCAGAGCATTCCTTGGGAACAGGACATCTGCTGTACGTGTCTCAAGAATGACAGAGCGTCAAGTGGATTAGACAGCTATATTGTCAAAGGCACTGCCATGCTTCAAGCTTGAAAAAACAGCACTTCAGGAATGTGATGTTTTATCAGGCATACCATCCGGGGGGAATAGAAATGAATGCTTTCCATACAGTGTATGCTGTCCATGTAAGGATGACTGACAGTAACTCCAGCTGACATCTCTCCATCCAGATCGAGAAGAATTTACCAGGTTCATTGCATCACACCTTCCCATTCAAAAGCTATTTGGAGCTGACCTACATTCTGTCAGAAGTGCGATCCTGGCCCCAAGTAAAAGCAGCTGTACTACTTCCAGTCTCAAACTAGTTAATGCTACTAGTTAATACTACTAGTACACCTTCTACTGCCAAGCTGATCAGCTGGGATGTGTCTGCATCTGTGTCAAGACTAATCCATAACGTGGATAAGCTGCCCACAGACAAGTAAGAATAGATGCTATTTACAAGGTGCTAGCTTACATATGAAATGTGGTGTCAAATTTTCTCAGTGTCCAAGTGAGATAAATGTTTACGGGTTATTTTCAGAAATTTCAGTCAATTCCTAACTGTTCAAGTTACTTCTCAAAATAGTACTTAGTTTTACAAAGATATTTATGTATCTAAACCCACATCATCCACTATGCTAGAATGTGAATTTGTCAGGGCATGATGAAGTTTTAATTATTATTTTTTTAATATCCAACCAGCTAAATCTCATTTACCCTTTGGGCCTCCTAAGGTCTAGAGATGTAAGAAAGCATTAAGATAAATGTCTTCACTGTATTAGAAGCTGAAGAACATATATAAGCTTAGATCAGGTTTTTCAGAACACCTGAAATGAACAGAGTACATCTCACCAAACATTTGCAAATATTACCTCTCTGAACAAACTGTGACTCATGCAGAGCACACAGGAAAGACTGCAATGCTCTCAAAAACTCCAGAATATACAGTAACTTTAAAAAAAATTCAAAATAAATGGTCATCGGTCATGATGACTATTCAACACTTGAAATTCCTAATCTTATCTAATGCTCTAAAGAAAAATTGCACCGATTCAACTTTCATCAAGCCTTCTCTTTAAATAACACAACTGAAAATCATCAGGAGTTCTCAATATATCATGTGAAACCATGAACTTCAGCCTGTATCTGGATCTTAGCGTGTTTTATAAATACAGTAACCACATCATAAATGACAATTGCTAAGTTCACAGTGAAAAAATTCAAAAGATTTTTTTTTTAAAAAAAGGCAGCTACTTAGTATGTTAAATATTAGTGACCTTTGAGCTAAAGCATTACCTGAAGACGTACCCGCACAAAAGTCTTAATTCCCTCTGAAGAACAATGAATCTTGATTTGTATTGACTTGGAGGAAAAAAACCTGGTTGGTGTTTGTATAATATAAGAGTTTCTCATAACAATAACTGCACACTGGACACTGTAGCTGTGTCATTTCACAGTGGTTGTGATTGTCATGATTCTACCATAAAAATAACAATCTTTAGATCACTAGGGTGTTTTCAACAGGCAAAAATGTTTATTATGAGCAACGGTAAATCATCCAGTGTGCTCTCTCTCTCACATATACAAACATGCACAAAAACTATCCACAAAATATGTACTTTGGCCCTTCAGAAACACTATAGTTACTGGGATGAGATCTGAGCCTGGCAGTGGTAAAGGTCTGAGCTCCATTCCCTGCATCCACAGCCTCCCTGTGGGATGTATGACTTTGTTCAATAATATAGCCACGGAGCACAGAGAATATTAACATTAGTCATTAGAAGGTGGGTGACATGACCCGATGATATCTATTGCAGTACATCTTCCCTTTGAGTCAGAGGTTACTGTGCTTGAGGTGAGAATGGTAACATCAGTAAACCTGCCTTGGCACAAACTTTGTCAGTGTTGATTTGTTTTCATTAAAAGATCTCTAAAATTTTACCTGAGGTGAAAATTCCTTTAGATTGCTGCATAATCTACATAAAACTTGCTTTTCATTGGCTTATTTTACAGATTTGTTCAAAATAATTAGAAGAGAGTTTGAAGACCACATATTTTAACCATTGATCTAGTGGTCTAGCTTCGTGCGCTACGATGACAGAAAAGACAAGGATGGCATATGTGTGGCAGAAAATCACGTGAAGAGAACTCTGACACAGGGTTGCTCTGCTAGATTTCTGAGCCTGTCTGATCAGCAGTGGAAAATATGAGCCAATCTCCCTATACCATCGAATGAGATATGAAGGAACAGATTTCACAGGGCCTGAAAATATGAGCCTCTCATGAAAAGGTTGTTGTGATCAACATCTGAAATCTGCTGCACAAGACAGATACAGGGATGTTCTTCATAGCAAAAGCCTGAGGAAACCTAACTGTGGAAACTCCTTACAGCTCCCATGGAACCTGCCTTATAAAGTTACTCAGTAGTAATTCATTTGCTTTTTATAACTAGTTGAATTTTGATTAGTATTACCTTGCTGTTCACAAACTAGTTAGGTGTTATAAAAAGCAAAGCAAATCTTACCTGGAATACTCTGTCTCCTCACAGACAGTGCTCCATCAGGTGGCTTTGCCTGGTTTGCAGACTTTGTGTAAGGACTCTCATCTAAACAGAAACAAGCAACACTTCCAATTACTGTTAAATATGTTAAAAACAACATAATTTTTACCCCAATACTGTGTGAACTAGCAATGCAGAGCAGAAGAGCTGCTGTGAGCTAGATGAGGATGGGTATTTCTGAATGCTGACTCAATGGTCAACGTCATGTTTAGACTTGATGACAGGCTCTGAAAGGCAGAGCTGAAAAGGATGGGGTAAAACTCAAATTGGAGATAACACTCAGTTGATGACAGGCTTGACATACAAAGGTCTTTTCGGTTTTAACACAATCATAGAAACTTTCCTTTTTCTCATGTTAAGAAGCTTCACACGTCAAAGACTCCAGTGAGAGAGGTACCATCCCTGTTAAGGAGCAAAAGGCTTCCAGAAGCTTTTGAATATTCTGGCTGTAAAGATGCATTCCTTTTCCTTTGGGATCTGTCAGTGGGTGGTTCCTTTTCTGTCATAACGATTGATTGGGGAAAACATCAGAAAGCTGTTGCCAAATAGGCCAGGCACATTTACGCCTAAAGAATGGCACTGTGACAGTCTGTGTCTAAATAGGAGGCTACGTGGAATACCTACTGATCAACCTCAGCGCATAAGAGACCACTAATGGTGGGATGAGCAAATGAGTCATCAATTAAAGGCAGCATTAGGCAGAAAGTGAGTCAATTCTACATCCGTCTTAAGAGCAGAACGACGGCAGGGAAAAAACCCAACTATATTGTAGCTATAAAAAGAACAAGCTATAAGCTCAGGAAAGAAATGTGAATAAAAGAGAAGAACTAATATTATGCATTTTATTGCTACAATCAAAAGAAAGGAATCAGAAGAAATCAGGCTTCTGTCTTGCTTGTCCTGTAATTAAGTGCTCAAACACTTTAAAGTATTATCAAATCCTTCTATTTGCATATTTTCCCTCAGGTTGCAAAGGACCGATGCGTTTACAGCATGTGCATGAATACATGCTTAAATACAGATCAATGAGGAAAGGAATCAAAGACTACATTATCTGGTATAGCACCCTCAGATCAAGTAGAACCACACAAACATTTTCTGGAGAACCAGGTGGGGTTTTTTCAGCTGATACTCTTGACATAATAAGCCTTCTTTGCTGATTATACTATTTACATCTTGCAAAGTCCCAAACTCCTTTAGAAACTTGCATTGAAGACAGCAGTCCATTTTTCTACAAGTAAGATAAGGGTTTGGTCAGCATAATTTAATTTAAAACCAGGTCTGAGAAAGAAGTGACTAGAAGAGCTGAGTGGCTTTTAAGATGAGAACCTCTGCAGTGAACTCTGCTACTGTTAGGTGGATGCAGTAACAAAAAAACCCCTAAGTAAATTTAAAAAAAAGAGAAAGAAAAAGGCAAAATATTGTGTTATAGCCATGCACCTTGATTAAAATGCAGCAAGTAATGAAGAACATATATTGGTAAAATACCTCAACAGCCAATGTAATTGTTTTTTCTACAGGAAAATGAACTCCCATTGCTTTAGGACTACATTGTTACAAGGAGAAAGATAACAGGCTTGAATATACTGTATGCTAGTACAAACTACAAGAAAATAGAGCTGTCAGCTACAGGAAATACAGAAGCATGAAAAAATATTAAGATAGATCCAGCTACACAATTTAAGAAAAAGGTAGACATGTAAAGCTTTATTCTTCCATTTGAGGAAAGTGGAAAAGCTAATATTATTGCATATGCAGAATATACATCCCCTCATTAAAGAAAAAAATTAAAGAGTGAACTAGAGCTTCTGAAGGAAGTAGGATTATCTTTTTTCTTTTATAGAAGAGGCACTGCTGAGCTCAAACTCAAGACAAGGCTCTCCGTACAGCCTTGCTAAACCATATCAACACCAAAAAAATACAGATTATTAATAACATGTGGCTTACATATCCCATCCATTACTACTTATTTGCAGGTGCTGAACGTGACAGCAGATAGTGTGACACACATTTTTCTATTAAAAAGTGGGTAGGAAACACAATACAATTTCTCCGGAACCGATGGATGGTGATGACTTTCGGGCCCTGTTTGAATGCATGCCCTACCTATCAACTTACAGACCAAAACAGCCTTCTTCTAGTCAGACTTATTACATACAAATTCTTTTCATCTGATTGGAGAGAGGGCAAAAAGAAAAGAAGAATTTTCACAATCAGACCTTTTTCATGGAATCTCTGTCACTGAGCCAATGAGTAAATGAGCTACAATCTCATGCTGGAATAGGATTTTCCCAATATTGCACTGCACTGGGAGTACCTGTGGTTATCCTGGGTTCAGAATGAAGGTTCAGCCTGCAAATCTTTCTGGTTAATGGTACCAACGAGGGGAGGGAGTGCACCTTCAAATTCCTTGCTAGGGAGTCTGAGCAAAAAATCTAGTATGTTCTGCATAACAACTGGCAAATATGAAAGGTAACCGAGACTGCATATGTGAGTAAGCTAGTATCATAATTTAAGCATATTAACATTGAAGACTTCTCAGGTATTTATATAGTTTAGGTATTACAGGCATGCAGTTGTGTTACATTTCTTAATCTGTCTACAGACTTTCGCAGCAAAAAAAAAAAGCAGCCCAAAAAAGTTGTTTCATAAACATTTGAACCTCTATTAATGCAAAATATGCCCAATTATTATTGGGAAAGAACAGTGAGCCATTGTATCGTTGGTGGATTGGGAAGCTGTTCCCAGGACAGGAAGGAATTATCTTTCAATGCCCACTTAACAGTAAAATCACACTGCAACATAACTAGAAATCAGTGTAAAGGATTCCCAGAAGCAAAGGAAAACAAATAAAACCGACTGGAGAAATAATGCTAACAGCCTTATTGAGATGCTTATTTGAGGCAGCCAAGTAATACAAAGAGCAGACAGATGCAGAAATAGATGCCATCCTAAAGAACAAAGTAAAGAGACAAGGAAACCCTGATAGCCCTGAAATGTCAGACACCATTCATGCTGTCAAAAAAGGGAAATGTCTGTTTGTACGTACCAGCAAAGTTGTACTAGCCACAAGAATTTATTACCAAATTATAATTTATTGATGTCCCCATCCACTCTATAGTCAGCAGAAAGGGTCTTAAACATGCAAAAATGTCTTAGAAGGGTTTGTTCAAATGTTGTGTATTACCAGCCTCCCCCTCTACAGCACAGGTAGACTTCTTGGAGATGAAACCCAACCCAGCAAGCCAACACCCTGAAAAAGCAAAGGAGCAAAAGGGTATGAAGCATTCTCCATTGTGGGAGACAGTAACTCAAAATCAGGTTAAGTTGTAACATATTGAAGAAGCCACGCATACAAAGCAGAGGGAGAAACAGGCTAGATTCAAAAGCAGAAGTCTCACCTAGCTACACCAGTAATACTAATACATCATCAGCAGGGAGCGAGTCACAGTCCATAAAAAATACACAGGCCAAACTGTGCTGCCCCTGAGCACAAAACACCTTCACCTGGAACACGAAGACATGCAGCTGCAAACCCTGCCGCTTGGTGCACCAGCTCCTGCCCGCTTCTGGAGGAGTCGCACTGCAGGTGGCCACGTTCGCTACAGCGGGACGAGCATAGCTATGCAGATACACTCTTGGAGCTGCATTTATTACATCGCTGGTTCTTTTTTTTTTTTTTTCTCCTTTCTTCTAATTTCCTCTGGCTAAGAGATTAGCCCATGGTAAACTACTTCCAGCAAGTCAGTAGGTCACATTAAGGTGACGGCTATGTCAGCAGATCTCTTCGCTCAGCGACTACAGGAAACAAACCCTCTTATGTTATTAAAAGGTGGGGGTCATTTGCCCCCCCCAAAATCGTACTTGCATATTGTTTGCAGTTGCCAATGACCACTGCATTAATTTACCTCTTTCCCAGCAGAACACAGCGATAATCTCAGAGGGAGCATCTTGCAAATTACTGAGATTTTTAACCAGCAAAGCGAAATGATCTTCCTGTTTTCTCATTTTGCTTGTCCTCATGAAAACAACAGCCCCAAATACCGGTAACAGTAGCTCACATATCCTTCTTTCAAAGCTCTGCACACAATTCTAATTAAAGACTGCAAAGATAATGATCAAGTGGACAAGCAAGTAGTCTTACTATTTACAGCTATTACTGTAGGTTTACTGCCTTTAGCTATTGACTGTGAGGCAGAAAAAAAGCTTTTTGTACTTTCCTGCCTATTTTTAACCTGGTGGCATCTATCCTGTAACTGAATGATTTGTTCTTTGCGTTAGGGACCATGCTGTGACCCATTTATATCGTTCTGTGTTGCTCTTACTATACAGGCAGGGCCCTCTGTCCAAGATCAAGGGCTCTATACGCTGTAACAAACCAACAGTAATGTAACCCTACAAAGATTATACACTGGACAACATGTATAGAGAGATATATATATATAAAGTGCTTGGTACTGTGCTAGCAAAATGACTATACAAAATCTTCAAAATATTTGCTGTATTCAGTTTAATATCCTTTGAAGGATACCGACTGGGGACACATAAAAGGGAATAAAAGGAAAGCCTAAAGCTATTTCCTCAATAGTCTAGTCCAGGCATTCAACATATTGGGTGGTTTATGGCCACTGAACCATTTGCGTGTCTCTCGAGGTGGCTGCGAAAGCTGTTGACACAAGGATGTTGTTTACAGATGTGGTAAAGCCTAAGAGCACTCTCTCCATCAAGTCTTCACAACTGGTTAGAGGATGTTTCCTTCACTGCTGCTGCCACACATCCAGCCAATAACTACTGAACCCCATAAATGTGTCCAAATCCTGTGCAGCATCAGGTGGCCCCAGAAGGCAACTACACCCAACTGTGTAGTCAGAGACAAAGGGGGAGCCTCTTTCCACCCCACTGGGAACAGCTACTGAACAACTCAGCGGCTGCCACTTTGGCCCTCCTACATGGAGAGGAAATGTGAAGATCCTTCACTGTCGTAGCTTGTCTCCCCACACAACAGCTCGTTCTCAGCTCTACGTCACTGCTCTTACCTGCTTCTCTTCTGCAAAGTCTGCATTCCTCTGGGAGCAGGGGAAATAACGTGGCACCAAATCTGTAAGTGAGGAATTTCAAACATAGGGGAATTTTTTACTATTGAGGATCCTGGAAGTTATATTAAATTTTTTCAACAGTAGATGTGGAAGCATTATGAGGGAGAACAGAGAGCTTCCATCTTTCAGCTTTTCATTGTCATTCTTCAACAGCTTACTTATGTCTCATGATAGGATAAGCAGTTCTTTGGCCAAGGGAGAAATGAATTTAATTAAACCTTTTAGAGTTTGACCATACAGCTCCTAAGTAGACTTCAGAACCCAAGCAAGTAAAATCTGAAGTGTTCCTCAAATGTTCCCCACTGTGAAGCATCTCCAACTAATGTGAGTCCTAAGACTCCACAAGGAAGCACATTACATCTCCAGCTGGCTACGCCTCCAGCTGTCTCAGTGTACTTGAGGAGTAAGATCAACTGCACGTGTTGTTGCTTACACCATTTGGGATAGCACGCACCTCAGACTAGTAGAGAATCACACACCTGTACAGAGGTAGAGGATGACAACACAACAAGTTGTCAAGAGGATGATTACAGTTGAGAGAAGAACATCCCCAAGATTACTTTCTCAAAAATTAAAAGCACCAGGGTCACAGTTATTACTTCAGGGACTCCTAGATCTGTAATACCTCATTCACAGAAATTTACTACTCCTTAACTTTTTAATAAAGAATATTTTTCACTAAAAGCAACAGATTTTTATGAATAATGCCAGTACAGCACAAAATACCACAGGTTCTCATACTTCCCATATCTGAAACTTATCCTGAATTTTATCTTTAAATGGCATAAAGCTCAGCATTATCTAAAAGCATCATTTTTGGCACAGTATCATACCAGTGACAGTTGGCAAATTCTGAGCTACAGCATTCTTGGTTATCCCCACAGCTTGCAGCTGGAGGCTTTCGCAGATAAAAATAAGCATGTATCCATGATGTCCGTGGTTTACAGAAGCTCTGAAGTTGAGGAAGGCTTACACAGAGTCTCAGTACAACTTTTAGGACCATTCCTGTGGCAACTTACTCTCTTCTAAACTCAGACCTTTCTGTTAAAGATTTTCCATTCTGTAAGTAAGCTTAAATATTTACTGGAGCAGGGGCTCGAACACCAGTCTCACATTCAAAGGTAAGTACCCAAAATCCCAGCTACACAATCATTCAGTCTTGCTTGCTTGCTCTGATCAATGTTTTGGGTATGTCATACAAAGTAAAGCAGATTAAAGCTATCTATCTCCTCTACAATCAATTCCAGGCCCTGCACTGGATCAGGCAGAAGAGTGAATCTGAACTCAAGATCCCCTGTGTAGCCCTGTGAGTAGCCCAGCCACTACAAAGTCATCAGGACCACTCTAGAAAAAAGCCTCTGATCCCATGTAAGCTCTTCTCCTCAATTCCAGTTGTTTCTGGTAAAAATGCATAAACATTTTCTCTGAACTGTTAGAAATTCTGGAAAATGTAATTTTCACGTTGATCTACAGCAATGGGAAGGGAAAAAAATATTGAGAAGGGAATTGAAGCTTGGTTATCACATTGCCCTACAGCTTCCAGCTGAGAGGACTTCTGTTAAAGACAGTGGACAAATCTTTTTCGTGAATTTAAAGAGCAAATAATTCTGAATGAGAACTGACTAAATAACTCTGAATATTTATGCAATACCCCAATCAATGTAACCAGTAGCAGTCACAATCAATAGACAGATACTAACACAACTTAACTGAATCTATGATAGTTATAACAGCTGTAAATGAATCATAGCAAGAATACAAGAATACTACTACCCAGACCTTTTTCTTTTTTTTTTTTTTTTAATAACTAAAACTTATAAAGGTAACTGGAAGTCTTAAAACTTTGATAAGTTTTACAACTGAATTATTGAATACACTTGAATCAATAAACCACATTGAAATTTGCTGGGAAGCAGTGAATACTGAGAATTTTACTTTGGTTACTGATGGGAAATTTGGCACAAACACTTTTAGCCTGGTGTAACTTTTAGCCTTAGTAACTGTTATTGACAACAATAATGAAAAAATATCTCAGGGAATGTATTTTTCCTGGGAAAGGAGGATGTTTTTAAAAGATTTGCTTTTAAATAATGCAAAAGTCTAGAGAAAAATTAACATCCTGGAACATTCATGGTTGCTACAATGTCACCACAGCTGTGTCAGAGCATAACGGACTATAAACATTTGAAAAAAGAGACAAAATTGGCTAAGTTCTTTCACCAGATGTGTAATGTACAGATTTGGAATGTATATGCTTCACGAAACAATAAAATGTCAACAATTTGCTTTGCCCATATGCTAACCCTTTCAGACTTGTTATGGGAGCTCCAGTCATGGAAGAAAGAATTAATTTCTCCTCCTGGTGCACAGGAAAAACATTTTTTTGAGTTTCTTTTAAACCTATGGCTTCAATCACTTCCAATGAGATTTCATTTTTAAAATGGCAATGCTGCTTTTCGAAGTAGTGCTTAGAAGTATCTAAAATTTCCTAAGAAAGAGCTGCATGTAAAGCAGTCATTAATGAACTAGGCTTCAAGTAGGACAAATATGAATGTATTTAATCTTAATCCTTTCTTATCAAACTCTATGCTCAGTGCTCTCCAGCAGTCTTTATTAAGAAAACATAGGGTTTCAAATGATTCCATAAGTAACATTTGTTGGTGTGTGTGACATGGAAGAATTATGAGAAGGAAGAGTTAGAATAGCTCCTCTGGTACTTTTCTTTCCCACATTTAGCTGACTGTCTTCTGGTTTTCTTAGAAACTTAATTTTAACAGTTAAAGCACACAATGAATAACTATGTTGTCTCTCTAAAGTGAAAATTTATTCCATTTTATTATACTTTATGTAAATTTAATTCTCTTTTTTTCTGAATTATATGGTTACTTATTACAGTAGCAGCTCAGTTTTAATCTAGAAGGAAGAAAAGTAGGGTACTGTAATTATGCATAACCCTGAATCCATTTCCTATTGATATTCACAATACCTCAGGAAGACTGACTGTTTGAGAAATGATCCAAATGTCCTCCAAGTTTGCTTGTCCAAAGTTAACTTCCTAAGCCTGTGCTCAGGCACCTGAATGGAAATGCTTGGTTTCCTAAATGGCTAAGTACGCTGATCTGCTCCCAAAGCTATTTTTAAAAATATTTTTATTATTTAAAATTCAGAACTTTTGAAGACCATCTAAAACATGCAGGATCTGCAGAAAGCTGAAAACATGTCTCAAGAGATATTAGCATATGGTGAAATTCACTTCAGTGGATTATCTAATAAAGAAGTAATCCTATTTAAATAATACCCCAACCACAAACTACTTCAAATCTAATAAATATGTCTTTTTGTTTATACAGCATCAAGAATTTGTTAAGGGATTAAACCTGAATGCCAGAAACCGGAATCGTTACTGAATCGTTACATAATTTTAGGATTCAAAGCAAGTTTCACTCTGTTGTCTTGAGCTTCTGTTTATTGTTTCTGGAAATAATACAGGCATCACAGAAGTGAAATATGTGAGGCTTAACCAGAGCAGCTAGAAACTGAAGAAGCTGGGAAAGCGAAAAAACTCAAAGAAACTAAGGATGTAAACTATTTTCCTCTATGAGACAGTTTGGGATTTTTCTGTACATATAACTTCTGTAGACAATCTTATTCTAGAGGATGGTGCTATAAACCTTTTTCACTTAAAAGGAAATCCCTAAGTGACACAGATTTCATTGACAGAAAACATTTCCAGATATTCAGGCTACACTTTTTGTTGTGAACATCTGTGGTTGTTAGGAGTTGCATCACGGTCCACAGTAAGGTTTTGTTGTCCTCTCTGCATGTGTGTTTAGGAGCATCACATGGCTCTGATGTACTGCTGCATGCTGGCATTGTGTGAAGGGGCCATACATAAGCTTTTTGAAAAAAAAAAATATATTGAAAACTGTTTTCTGTACAAAGTTCTAACAATTAAGAGATTCAATTACATTGTTTAACATTGGTAAATGCTAAATCAGTATCCCTCAAGAATATTTGAGCCAAACTTGACAGAGGAACACCAATGTCAAGAAGATAACAGAAGTTCCAACAAGGCTTCTGGAGAAGGGAGCTGAGCAATGGAGCAAGACCTGAGCCAAAGCAGTGGCTGAGGGCCAGAAAACCAGACAGCATTAATGCCACACCTCATGAAAAACACTTTTATGAATAGATATTTAATTTAAAAATGCATCAGTGACCTTAGTGTTACCTTTTATTCCCTATCCTTGTTCAGCTACCCCTTCCAGATGGGATTTTGCTGAGCTGGGAAGTCAGTGATCACTGATTAGTGGAAAAGGGGTCAAGCCATATCCCATGGCTCCTGGACGATGCCCTCAAGCTTAAGCCACCATGCACGCTCCTGACTGCCGCGGCTGCCCACCACCATGCCTCCTTGGGACAAAAGGTAATCAGCTTCCTGGTGGGGAGCATTTCACTGCATATTAACAAAAGATGACACATGGTATGATCTACTATTACATTTGCAGATGAAATGCAACAGGAGAAATATATACTGGTCATTTGAGCTGTGCATATCCTCCACTGTACCAGCAGATGTTAACAGTGACTTTCTTGTGCATCAAAACTGTTCCTCTGCTTTCTTAGCCCAACCTTGGCAGATGTTTTCCCTGCAGTCTGCTTGAAAATTAAAAAGTAGAAGTAGTGTTTAAAACTGCTGCTAGATTCTTTTAAAGCTTTCTGATTTTTCCATCTAGGGAAATAAAATTCTATATTCCCCCTTCCCATCAGTATATAAATGGATAATGATCTTCTAGGAGTACCCATGGGGAAGACACCTTCCACCTTCTACCTGTGCAGACCATAATGCAAAGCAGATCAGAAATATCTGCCCAGGCTGCTGTCACTGCAGTTGACAGAGACTGGGGAAGAGGTCAGCTAGGAATTTCTCAACTGCATGCCAGGGAAAGCAGAAGCTAGCTCTGTGTGTACTGTGGGAAACCAAAGATAGAGGTAATAGCTGAGACAGTGAGACCGTCACTCAAGTTGCATAAAAAGTAAGTAAAATATGTTAAACTGTTTAGAAAATAGGAGTTTAGTTTGCTTCAGGTAAAATAAGAATAAGCAAAGTCACAACATTATGTTTAAAGACAAGAAGTTATGAATGGTAATTTTTTCATGAGGTTATTTATCCCACCTTCATTCCCATGCTGTACTACTGCTATTTGCAGTAAATTATATCATGTATTTTTCAGCCTACTTGTGTCTTTAAGTGTCTCTAGTGATGACATCTCCATTGCTTTCCTCTGGAGACTGCTCCACAGGATGCATCAGACCTCACAGCTGGAAAATAGTTCCCTCCATCAGTCTACAATTTTCTTTCCTTGCTTTAACTGTCATTCTATTACTCCTAATAACATTCTTTCCCTCTTCAGAAAAGCTTACAAAAAAATTTATCATCTCATGTACTTTCATTCCAGAAATCACACAGATTACTGTGCTTACTGTTTTAGGCTTGGATCCTACCAGCTCTTCTTACTGGGCATGACTTTCCACAAAGACAGGCTAATCTTGTCACCGAAGCACGGTGTACATGCTGACTTTGTACTGGGACATCCATTTGGTGAAGAGTGAAATTATTTCTTTAAACCAAAAATTTGCACAAGTGTAACTCTGGTGTGGACGTTTAAGAGTAAAACATACTTTTGCATGTTAGTAATATGTTGCATAAATTTACAGCATTATACTTATCTTTTTTAATTCCATGAACAAGGTTTCTTTGATTCATAAAACAATTCTACCACTGCCACTAGGAGCTGCATAAATGTTGTGCCAGTACCGGCGTATTTATCTTGGCATGCCAGTGGGATTGCCCCACTTTATTTATAGTCCAAACGACACACATTAGTCCAAACTGGCGCAGCTCAGGCTTTGTGAAAAACAGA